CTGCTGGAATGGCCCAGCCAATCACCTGACCTGAATCCAACAGAAAATCTATGGAAAGAACTAAAGATCAGAGTTCATAGAAGAGGTCCACGAAACCGCATTTTCGTATTTTTAATGCGACACTTCTAAATGCGCATCAAAAAGCCTTGATGGAAACACGGTAGCGTCTGATCAGTCGACACAGAACAGTTCAACACTAAAATAAAAATAAACAGATTTCCAACACTCACCCAAGACTCTTGGTAAAGAACAGTTAGCAGGTACATGGCGTAGTCGTAGTTCTGAAGCCTCAGAGGGCAGCTGGTAAAACAGAGGCGACAAATTAGATGGTTTAAAAACATTTGTTACATTTTGTAGCCTGTTTTTAGGAGGCAGTGTTTACCTGTCGGTTTTAATGGTGAGGATATCCGTGTCCTTGCAGTATCGCTCTCCAACAAGTTTGAGAAGTTTCTTCCGTGCGTGATCGTCCAAGTTCAGACTGGACACCTTTACCTGGGAGGGCAAGGAGACAAGATGACCACAGAAAACTTTATGCAGTTGAGTTTTTTTTATGTTCCAGGGATCATTATTACTCAGGGGTGTATCGTAACTAAGTATATTTACTTTCTTACAGTACATATAAGGATGCACCAATGTGAAAACTTCGGCTGATATCGATATCTGACATTATTATTGCTGTTACAGGGTTTGTACACTTTTCCCACAGTAAAATTCAAGCACTTTTCAAGCATTTTCAAGGTAAATTTTCAAACTTCTCCAGCACCAAATTTCAGAGCAGTCTTCTTCACTTAAGTCTTATTCCATTTGGTTTTATAACCATGACACACACAGCATTCCCTGCCTGAAAGGTACCCATCAACAATCTAAAATACTCTGCAACTCAGTGTCTCCCCTCCCACAACGAGACAGCCCGCCCCTCTACGAATTCCATGGCATGTAGTCATTTTTATTTAAATAAGGCCAGATCAAGTCCAGAGCTATTTTTTTGCATCCCTCCATATCCACCTCTCACCAAACTTGGGGGAAAAGACGGCGCAGAGCGAGGCTGAGCGCTGTGTGTGGTCCTCACAAAGATAGGAAGATGTGTGTGTGATTAGACACGCAGCTCTGCTGTTAATCACGTTGCACCAATGCGACAGCTTTGCAAGCTACTTTTTCTTTCTTTAAAAAAAATGCGACAGATG